ACCCCACCATCCCTCCACCCTCCCGGTATTGCCACTCTCACCACTGGTCCTGAAGGGATCATCTGTCCTGGATTCCCTGCGTTTCCAGTTCCAAACCTCTTTAAAGTGTTGTAAACACTTCAAAAGTGTTACTTTGAAGACATAGGTGCGCTGGACCCAAGCCGTAGTATTTTCAATGATGTCAAATTCATGTGACAGTTGGACATTGGCTATCTAAGAAGACCGAAGAAAAATCCATACTTTGAATTATGGTGCTGGTGAAGAATATTGGAAAGTATCGTAGATTGCCAAAAGAATGAACAACTCTTCCCTGGAAGTAATACAGTTAGAACGGTCCTTAGAAGCAGGGATGGTGAAACTTCATCTCACATACTTTATTGTTGGGAGAGACTGGTCCCTGGGAAAGGGCATCATGCTTGGTGAAGTAAAGGGCAGAGACAGAGGAAGACCTTTAGCAAGATGGATTGGCACCGTGGCTGTCACCGTGGGCTTCAGTTTAATGGTTGTGAGCATGGCCCCCCGCGGGCCAGTACTTCCTTCTGTTGGACAAAGGGTCGCCATGAGTTGAGACTGATTCGAGGGCACGTAACAACAACACATAGATCTGCGATGTGTTGGGACCAATTCGACGGCTCTTTTCCAGAAGCTGAGGTGGAAGGAGAGGAACCCTGGTGGCGTACACATGGGCTTGCTGACCACAGCAAGACCAGCAGTTCAAACCCACCAGCTGCTCCCTGGGGGAAAAGAGTGGGCTTTCTGCTCCTGTGCAGATCGACAGCCTCAGGAACCCACAGGGCAAGTTCGTTCTACTCTGTCCTACCGGCTTGCTCTCAGGTGGACTGGAGAGATGACAGTGAGTGAGCAGATGAGAGAGTTCTAAAATCTTACTGACCGTCGACGTAATTTTTCTTTTTATTAGACACCTTGGTTCTGGTGAAAAAGGGATTAGAAAAAGGTGAATATTCAAAAGATTAATTTTTCATAGCGTATTAGTATAGTGGTTTTTATGACCTTACACTTGATGATTAAGAGCCTAAGGAAATAATCATCAATGATTAGATAGGAAACTGGGCTAAGGTCGTTTCCATTCGCTTCACTCTCCCTCCAGGAGAATGAGATGGAGGGCTGGCGTGTTAATTCGCCTGGATTGCAGCAGCACCCAGGAGAGGGGGCAACAGTAATGTGCCGGTGCAGTGACTGCGTGTACGGCTCCTGCCAGAGAATCCTAGATCCAGGGAGCCCGAGTTCACGGTCCCTGAAAAGCTGTCTGCTTAGGTTTGCTGGAGCGTTTCTTTTGTAAACCTGCCCCTCCTGGTTGTCTGTGTTAATTGCTACAGGTTGAAACATCGATGTGTCATGTCATATTTAACATCGCATTCCCTTTGGCCTTGAAATGTGGGTGGACGAAAGCACACAGTCCGAGCAAGCAGTGCACTGCGCCCCTCAGTACTCCTTGGGCTGCTAACTGGAAGGTCAGCAGTTCAAAACCAACAGCTGTGAGGCAGGAGAGAGATGAGGCCTTTCTGCTCCCATAAAAAGTTATGGTCCAGCAAAGCCTCACGGGCAGTTCTGTCCCATTCTTTAGGGTCACTATGAGTCGGACTTGACTCAGTGGCAGTCAGTTTTTTGTTTTGTTTTTTGACAAATGGAGAAATGGAGGCCCAGGGAGAGTTGGCAACATTCTCAAGGCCACACAGTTAATAAGAGGCCTGTGGAACCAGGATTTCAACTTCGGTCTCCCACCCCATGGTCTTCGCGTAGCTCTGAGATGAAGCTTTCTCAGACCTTGAAGATATAACATTGCTTTCTCCTATCTGCATTCGTCCGTCTGTCTAAACACTGCCTTGTGGTAAATGGATGTCATGTGTTCTTTCCACCTCATATGGAATCTGTTTAGGAGGGCTGTTGTGGGATCGCTCACAGTGCAGTGAGCTGTGCCACTCGGTTATTTACAGCGAGCACTGCAACCACTGAGAAGGGGTTTGTGTTTGAAGTTAAGGTGGGGACTTGAAGTCTTACTAGACATTTAGGCTGTTTCGGGATTTTGAGCGTCCAGGATTCAAACATTCGACTTACACACAACCCATGGTAGTGCACCCGCTCCCCCTGGTGGTTCATAGTCACAAATGGACACCACGTTGCCACCCTCATCAGAACATTGTTTCTACTATCTCGGTCTTAGTCCGTGTAAGATGCCTTCGAGTGCATCTGGAAGTGCTTCTCTAATGCCTTTTACGCATGGACAGGTACACAATATACTAGATACTCAGATAAGCATTTGATTATCACATTAGGAGTGAACCTGACTGAACTCTTCTGATTTATGTACATAGCCCTAAAGACAGAATCAGGACTAGAACTGATTGTTTATGCGGGGACTGCCTGTGTTAGGGTGGTATGAATGTATGATTGTGGTCGGGGGTCGGTTGTTAGGATTGCTTAGACATATGCAGATGAAGTAGGAATTAGTGGAGATAGGCAGAAGATGAGACCAGGTGTGTGTGTCCCAGTAGTTAGGGTTCCCCTACACCACTGGTGTCATGAATCAACAGGGTGACAGAGGAGGGCGTTATCATTGTGAACTTGGGAGGGCAGGGAAGGCTTTGCAGTAGATGGTAGATGTGGGTCTTGTACCTCACAAGTGGGTAAGGGTTGGATGGGTGGAAGGACTGTGGGGAGAAGTGGGGCTGGGCTGATAGTTGGGACCACTTATCAAGCTGATACCAGTGGCCTTCCAGTTGACGACAACTCATGGTGTTCTATCTGCATCAGAGCAGAACTGTGCTCTGGGGCTTACAGGCCTGATTTGCTTCCGAGTCGATTCCCAGGCCTTTCTTCCAAGGTACCTCTGGGTGAATTAAAACCTCAGCCTTTTGGTTCTCGGCAGTGCAGATGCAGTGTGGGGGGTGCCGTATCTCACCTCCTCTGGCTTCCCTATGGCCATGAGACTGAGGTAGCGATGCCTCCACCAGCTCCCTGTCCCCCCCTCATCCCCCTCTTTCTCCCTCGGTCTCCCTCCTCAGCTTTCCTCAATATTAACTCATCCTTTCATATGAACTCATCTAAGATAGAGACGGAAGCAGAGGGATTATGAGAAAAAAATGGATGCCAGGTGTCTGCAAATACACAGATGAACTGTAAACGTGATGGTTAACGCCGTAAATATACAGCCTGTGGGAAGTTCAGTACCACGTGTATCATCGAAGCTGACACCTGTGAGGCACGGGAACTCACCATCTCAGAACAGATTGGACTTTATAATAATTAAAAACCCCAAACCCCTTTGTATAATCCGGTGGGCCACACTGCCCATCCTGGTACAACTGGGATTTTTGCTGTACTTGATTCAAATATACTGAACCATCATCATTTCTAACTTTTATTTAGAAGAAGCACAAGTGGCCGATTCTGACATGTGGGATATGACATATGGATCTTCTAGGGCAGCGGTTCTCAACCTGTGGGTCGCTATCCCTTGGGGGGTTGAATGACCCTTTCACAGGGGTCACCCGATTCATAACAGTAGCAAAATGACAGTTATGTAGTAGCAATGAAAATAATTTTAGGGTTGGAGGTTCACCACAACATGAGAAACTGTATTAAAGGGTCACAGCATTAGGAAGGTTGAGAACCACTGCTCTAGGGTCACTTTCCAATGAGTACCCCATCCTCATGCTGTCACTGAACCCTGCATTCTATCATTTCCCTTTGCCCTTTCCTGACCGGAACAAAGGAACGGGAAGAGAATCCTTTTGGCGGCAGCTGTTTTACTGTGGCTGGTGCAGTTGACCAGGAAATCCAATGTCTTGCTTTATTCATGCACCTTCTCACGATTAAAGCTCTGAACATTGCTAATACCGTGGTTTGTTTCTTCTTAACAGAGGAAACAATTTTTAAAATCATTTTATTGGGGGCTTGTACAGCTCTTATCACCATCCATCCATCCATCCATCCATCCATCCATCCATCCATCCATCCATTGTGTCAAGCACATTTGTTGCATCATCATTTTCAAAACACTTTCTTTCTACTTGAGCCCTTGGTATCAGCTCCTCATTTTGGGGGAAACATTTCTATACCTAAACTGAAACCTCCTTCGACTTCCTTGACCAGCCCCCAATACAGGGAAATCCCAATCAGAGCCTTAAGAAATACCCTTCCACATAATGTTGGCCCATGAGTTCCTGTGATAACAGGTATTAGGTGATGCTACGAAGGCAGACTTCTACTTCCTCAAGGGGTTAAAATTAAAATGCAGTGATAACCCCAAAATATTTCTCAAGTTAGGAAAAAAAAGGGCAATTACAGTGTCCTTTCTCTGCATCAAGCCCCGTGTTTAGTGAATGGTCATTATTTTCTCACTGGCTCCTCACAAACCTGGGAGGAAGGTGTTATCATTCCTAAATCATGGATGAGAAAACTGTGGAAGGAAAGTCGTTTGTCCAAGGGCACATGGATAGTAAGTGGCCGGGTTGGGGTGAAAATCCAGGTCTGCCTCAGCTCCTGTGAGCATTACACCTCCCTACTACTTACCAATCCCTTGAAGAAGCTGGAAGTCGAGCTGAGAACTGCTCTTGGCAAATCGCTGTTTGAGATTTGGGTTTCTTGTGGTTGAGAACATTCCCGCCTTTGGGTTGGAGCTTTCTGGGGCCTGTTCCCTTAGCCATGGATTTTTGGCAGTCAGTTGACCCTGGGAGGTATGTTCACAGACTCAGGCCTCAGCTAGAGAGGGCTTTCCCACGTGACCCATTGGGGGTGTCTAGACCGTCTAGAGGAGTCCCCTCAGGCCCCATGCCGGCTCCGTCCTGTCCTTCTGACCTCTCACAGGGGAGCCCAGGATTAGACCTAACGTACAATGGCTCCATCCTTTCCAGGACACTCCACGCTCCACCCCAAACTGTGCTCGCACCAAAAGCGTGGGTGAAGAAGGCTCTTTGACTCACACTGACTAATGCTCTGTTGTCCTTTTCCTGTTATAGGGCACCGGAGCCTATGTGAGCACTCTCTAAACTATTTAAGCTCGAGGATCACGGAGCGGAAGCTGCAGAGCTCCTGGCTGGCTGCGGGCCCCCGGAAGGTGGAGAAACCACTGCAGGGCCCACACGGCTCTGCGGCGCCCGTGTTCAGCCCTCAGCACGGCCTGCACTGCCTCCACGCTGACAGCAGCCTGCTGAAGCCCAGGGTGGTGACCGTGGTGAAGCTGGGTGGGCACCCCCTGCGGAAGATCACCCTGCTGCTCAACAGACGTTCCATGCAGACGTTCGAGCAGCTCCTCGCCGACATCTCGGAAGCCCTGGGCTTTCCGAGGTGGAAGAATGATCGTGTGCGGAAAATATTCAACCTCAAGGGCAGGGAAATCAAAAGCATCTCTGATTTCTTCAGGGATGGGGATGCCTTCATAGCCATGGGGAAAGAGCCGTTGACCTTGAAGAACATTCAGCTGGCCATAGAGGAACTGTATCCCAACAAAGCCCGGGCCCTGACACTAGCTCCACGTAGCAGGGCCCCTTCCCCAAGGCTGAAGAGCAGGCTCTTTAGCAAGACTCTGAAAGGGGGTCATCCCTCTGGGGAGACGGAGACCACTAAGAGCGGGGCTCAGGCTGCTGGTTCCAAGGTGACCAACGGACCCCCAGCCCGGGAGGACAGGGCCAGGGCCCAGAAGCCCTGGGGGAAGGGAAAGGGAGAGGCTGAATCCCATAGCAAGCCCTCCAGGGAGACCACCACGCAGGAGGAGACACATGAGAGTGGGGAGAAGCACCTGGGGTTGGAGATCGAAAAGACCTCAGGGGAAATTGTCCGATGCGAGAAGTGCAAGAGGGAGCGGGAGCTGCAGCTGAGCCGGCAGCCTCTCGAGAGGCTCTCCCAGGGGACCAGCGAGTTAGCCCTGGGCAGGCCCACGGGGCACAACGTGGAGAAGCTGGTGAGGACCAGGAGCTGCAGAAAGTCCCCCGAGGCGAACCCTCCGGGTGGGGAGGAAGAGTGGAAGGGCGACAGCCACAGGAGCAGCCCCAGGAATCCCATGCATGACCCCAGGAAACCTGGCAAGACGGTGGAGAAGAGGGAGGAGAGAGAGCCGGAGAGTCAGGAGAGCTTCCCTCCGGGAGCGGTCAAGACCAAGAAGGAACTTGCTGAAGCACAGCCAGCCCCAGAGCCCGGGCTGAAGGAAGCCAAGAAAGAGCCCCGTGGGCGCCACAGGCAGGGTGGCTGGCTCCAGAGGGAGCACCAGGCCGAGGACAGGGAGGAGGAGCCCAGCAAGGAGAGAAAGGCCTGTGCGCCAGCAGGGAGGAAAGTGGTTCTTGGGGACAAGGAGCCTTCGCAGGTGGACCCGGAGCCCAAGACTCGGCCCGAAAACAGCAAGCCCGAACGCCCAGCAGGGCGCAAGGCGCGGCCCGCGGGCATCCTCACCACCGAAGTGGAGAAGCACTATGAGCCCGGCAGGGTCATCGGGGATGGGAATTTCGCCGTGGTGAAGGAATGCAGGCACCGAGAAAGCCGGCAGGCCTATGCCATGAAGATCATCGACAAGTCCAAACTGCAGGGCAGGGAGGACATGGTGGACAGTGAGATCGCCATCATGCAGAGCCTCGCCCATCCCAACATCGTGAAACTGCACGAAGTGTACGAGACGGACACGGAGATCTACCTGACCATGGAGTACGTGCCGGGGGGCGATCTCTTCGACGCCATCATCGAGAGCGTGAAGTTCCCCGAGCGGGAGGCGGCGCTCATGATCACGGACGTGTGTCGGGCGCTCGTCCACCTGCACGCCAAGGGCATCGTCCACCGAGATCTCAAGCCGGAGAACCTCTTGGTGAGGCCCGATTTTGTTGCTATGAGAGAGGGGTGATGTTTCGCGTCATTTTTTCTTTCTTTCTTTGTGTTTTAGAGCAGTGTTTGGTTTACCGAAAAATTGCATCGGCAGTACAGGGCAGACGTTCTCCTATGCAACCTCGGGGGAGAGGAGGTTTGTAAACTAGGAGACGAGATGAAGATGGATGCCTGTGTGTCACCTTGACGCGCGCGCGCATGCGCGCGCGCACAGGTTCACTTTCTATTACTCTCATGCACTCATTTCGGTATCGAATGGTGTGGTCACAGCTCACAGGTTACTGAGGGAGATTGGTTTTGAGTAAGTGCTTGAGAAAGAAACTTTCCACTTGAAATGAAAGCAGAAAGGGCTCCCTTGTCCCTGGGTGCGAACTTTGTTGCCTTTGGCTGGGAACATACACTTAGGGTTTCCAGCATTTGCACAGCCTGGGTAGAGGTCTGGGTACCTGTGGGGTGGGGGTCTGCTGTTAGCAGCTTCCTGTCCAGCCTGACCCTGCCACCCTCCTGTAGAAAGACCCCTCTGACCTGTGTCTTCAGAAGCTCCGCCCTGCAGAGGCCCGAGTGGGGCATGGGCAAGAGCCAGCCTCTGGAGGCTGAACATCCGGCCTTGAATCCTGGCTTGACCAAAGAGAGCCTCACGCCTCTGCACCTCCTTTCCTTATTTATGAAAGGGAACTCATAATAGTAACTATTTGTGAGGTTGGGGGAGGAGTGCAGTCGAGAAGGAGAGGAGCAGCTCCCACCGTTCAGCCGTGGCTGGGCCCTAAAAGCTTGTTGGTGCTGGTCTCCTCTTGACCACAAATAGTTTCACAGAATGCCAGTGTTGGCCCCGGGGATGGTTCAAGACAAAAGCAAGCCCATACTGTGGACTTCACAAGCATGGCCACGTGCCCCTTCCTCTGGCTACAGTGAGTGATGGCTGCCCACCCCTTTTATGTTCCAGAGAAGAATTTCCAAGAGAACCAGTAGACCCCCACCTCCTGATGGCATCCAACCAAACTTCCCCCAGATCCCCGCAACAGCTCAAATCCTATGAGCGGTCTTTCAAACACCCTCTTGCTCATAGATCCCTAAGACATACATGTTCCCTTGTTGCCCTGAGCCAATAACCCGATTCCCTTGATGACAAGTGCGCTCCTGGTGCTCTCTGGCTTGGCCTCCTACTGCCCCTCTCTGGCACCTTTATCCCACCTTGTTCTTCACAGCCCTCCCCTCTTCGCCCCCCATCACCACCTGGTACAGTCTGTATTTACTCACCAGGATCCTTTCTCCTCTCACTGGAAAGACAGTTCCATGACAGCAGGGGGCCTTTATTTTCTTTTGCTAGGACCCCAACAAGGAGCCTGACGTCTGTGGTGTGGTAGACCTTTGATACATGTAAACTGTGTGAATGAATCCAACACTCTCCCATGCAGCCCGAGAGGCAGCAGCCAGCCTGGGCAGCTGCCAGGATGATTTGTACATCTCAACCAGGTGTGATAGGAAGGTGAGCCTCCTGACCTTGTCCCTGGAAAAGGTCTCATGTAGCAGGGCCTTGCAAAAGAGGAGGACCCTCCCCGACGACGACGACGACAACACTTTCCTATTTTAAAGCTCTCTACCGATGGATGCTGCCCATCAGTGATAGGGAATGGAGACCACGGCCTTTCTTGTTGAGCAACGTTCACTTTGATGTTGTTTGGCAAGGGTTTGACTGATTTCCTTTCATTTCCATGGCTGTCCACTCAACCTGGAAAACTACTGCCTGCCTCCCTCCCCACCCCAGCATTCATCTGCCCATAAACTGCGCCTACAAGCTGAGAGAAGCCTGGAGTCAGGCTAATGATCTGGTAAAATAAGTTCTGCATCGACTCCGAAGCCAAGCAACCCCCTTTTCGCTCAGCTTCGTAGAATTGCTGAAATCATCAGACTGGTTGCCATCAAATGACTGGCCTTTGGAAACATCTCATTCTTGCCTCAGCTGGCTTTCCTTGTCCTTTTTCCTGTCACTTTCCGACCTTCTCTAGCTTTTGGATCTGAGTCCAGAGAGCCTCCACGTACAAGGGGCTGGATACTGGGTTGAGGATTACAGCAGGGCAGGGTTCTTTAGTGACTCTCTGGGATGGTTTCACTAAGTGGGAGAGATTCCAAGGAGAGGCTTGGGTAGGTCCCCTGAGCGGAACATTTCAGGGATGTGTCTAGTACAGCATGATTATGGTTACACGGTCCTAAAATATGTGGAACAAGATAATCTCCCAGATTGAGGTGTTTTCTTCTATGAACAACCAGTTGAGCTTGTTTATCACCACGTCCCAGAGCCAGTCTACCAAAGCAGGCCATTTCTGGGCCAGTGGAGCCTCCTCTGTTAAATGACTTAACTTGCCAACAATCTTTATGACCATGGAGAAAGTTGGGATGTCAGGGGCCAGTGGGCTTCAGGAAGAGCCAAGTGCACCCGGGACATCATCTGGCATCTCTTTGTGGATTTAACTGTCAAAACAGATGAGAATTTTGTTAGGGGCATGGATTGTGTACAAATGTGTGCAGGAATGTGAGTCAGTTATTGATTGTACCTAATCATGTTTTCCTTGCAGATTTCAAAGAGTGTTTTTTTCTTTTAAATTAAAAATTGTTTTTGTGCCTATAGGTAGTGGCATAGCTCTTCAGAAACTCCCCAAAGCTACACATTGGAGTCATGTGGGAGAAAGAGGAGATTGTCAACTCCCTTAAAGCATTAAATGTCTTGGGAACCCACAGGGGCAGTTCTGTGCTGTCCTATAGGGTCACTATGAGTTGAAATCAACTCAGTAGCAATGATCTGGGTTATGGTTTTGTGGCATAGGTTCATATGTTTTCTCTGTGGTTAATGCATCAGCTTGTAGCTATCAAAACGACGGTCTGTCATAACGCGTTTGTCCTTAATCTGAGTCAGTAAAGTTCAGCAAATTGTCATGTCAGAACTCTTAGTGCTGTCTAATGTCAGCTCCTTTTGCTTTTTCAGAAGGAAATCATGCGAATGTTAGGTCTGACAGTTGACTCACTGCTTGGGTTCAGAGAGATGTCATTGCTTAACTCGTGATAAAAATTCCAAACTCAAAGCCATAGAGTGTGTTCTGACTCATAGCGACCCGATAGGGGAGGGCTGAAATGCCGCTGGGGGTTTCTGAGCCTGTAACTCTTTACAAGAGTAGAAAGCCCTGTCTTTCTCCTAAGGAGTGGCTAGTGGTTTCCAACTGCTGATCTGTGGTTACCAGCCCAACACCTAGCCACCGCACCACCAGGGTGATGGTGCTAATTATTGAAGTTATTTGGTATTTTCTAAGGTTTACTATTATTAAATATCCCCATGTTGACTTCAGTTCATTAGTTAATGTATTGTTATTATTATTGTTGTTGTTGTTTCTTTTAAAGGAGCCCTACTGGCAGAGTGGGTATGTGTTGAGCTGGTAGTTTCAAGGTTAGTATTTCAAATCCACTAGTTGATCTGTGGAATAAAGATTTACAGTCTCAGACACTGAAGAGAGTATTACTATGAGTCAGAATTGTCTGGAAGGCAGTGGTTTTTGTTTTGAATTTTTGCAGCATTTAGGGATCCCTGGTGATGTAGAGGTGAAGTATTTGGTGCAAACCAAAAGTTTAGTGGTTGAAACACAGGAGAGGCTCTGGGGGAGAAAGATGTGGCAGCCTGTTTCTACAAAGGTTACAGTCTTGGAAACCCACAGCAACAGGTTTAAGTGTTTGTTTGTTTGTTTCTTGCTAAGCTAAACCTCTCTGGGTGGTACAAATGATTTCCTCTCAATTTCTGAGGAGTTGTCAGTTCAGATCTGCCCAGAAGTGCCATGAAAGAAAGGCCTGGCAACCTGCTTCTGTAAAGACTGAAGCCAAGACAACCCTGTGGAACTCAGTCCCCCCACCTGGGGTTGCCAGCGTCAGAACTGATCCATGGCCACAGGTTTGGCTCTGTGTGTTGTTAAGTTTAGCTAGGTGATTCTGTTGGTACTATGTTGACATAGCTAAATATAACTGTGGTTGCTGTAAGAAACTTTCCGGATCTGCTAAAAGCTCTTAGTGAGTATTGCAAGCTTATCATGCTGTTTTAATCAGCAGAAATATTTAAATCTGAAAATTGGGGCCTAGAGTAAAATTTCAGTCTGGTATTACTGAGTTTTATCTACTTGCACGCATCATATTTACTGATCAGATGCTACTTCTCCTCTCCCCTTAGAGTTCTTTAGACTCCTGAGCTCTTACCAAAGAAGTTCTAATTATGGGGGTTTCTAGCTTGCGGAAATATCAGTGTTAATTGCGTCTTCTGCCAGCATGTGTGCCTTTGCTGGGGTTGGAATATGCTGCTGGCTGGGCCCTGGAGAGGGAGAGGAAGCAGATAGGAGCCCGAAAAGGGATGTTGGGCAGAGACCAGCTCAAACAGGGTGGCAGTGCCAGGCCAGGCTATTCAAGCCAGTGGGTGAGTTATTACATTCAGGGCAGAAGGAGGGGTGAGAGGGATAGAGAAAGAAATTGTAGAGATAGGGGCTGTCATTTGAAAATGTCTCTCCCAGAATAAAGGGCAGGAAAAGGATGAGCTTTTGTTATGAAACAGTGCTGGGGAGACTGGGCAGGGTGAGCAGCTGGCTGCTATGCGTGGGCTGAGATAGAGGGCTCCTTTCCCCATCGGGAGATAATGGAGAGGCCCAATACCAGGAGCTATAATGAGGCCAGGGGGCCGACTGTGGAACAGACCATCAATTGCTCACGCATCAGTTCAGGTAGAAGCTGACGAAAATGAAAACAAGTCCATGAGAACCAAAATACGACCTTGAGTCTCTCCCACTTGAACTTCGAGAACATCTCAAGAGCAGATTTGATGCATTGAACAGGAGACAGAAGACCTGGTGAGCTGTGGGATGACATCAAAAACATCAAACCCGAAGAATGCCATAAAAAAGACAAAATGCTATTAAAAAGACAAGAAAGAAAGACAAGATCAAAGTGGATGTCAGAAGA